TTTTTGGTCGTACTGACTGGCATATTGTTGATGAACAAAACCATGTATATAAAATCAGTTGCTATAACACACACAATTGTACATTATAATCACTATCATAGCTTCTTGCGTCTAGGAGTATCTCCAGCCACGATTGAGCAAGATTTAATGGTTGAACAATACTTCTTGTCCAGTTGAAAATTTCTATTCCTTTTAAATTTTTAACCCTAACCGCCTAAGCCCTTTTGGCGAGGACACACCCTCAATCCGTATGCATCCTTCACAATCAGTAATGCAATTTTGCCATGCAGCGTCTATCTTCCAAAATCCTCCCAAAACTGCCCGGAAAATTTGGAAGGACTGAGGATGGTTAAAACTTAGGGTTAATTATTAAATGAATAATTTACTTTTTACTGTTGTAAGATTTCTGTCGCTTTTCATATGAATTCACTTGAAACAAGCCTCCTTAGTGCACTTTTTCTCATTTAAAACAAAAGAAAATTTGCCCTTCCTTTTCATGAATTTTTAATTCAAATATTCAAATTCGGAAAATAATATTCAAATATCTGATAAGTGATCAAATAATCGGCACAGCACTACATTAATAAATATGCTGTTGTTACTGGCAAGGCAACCTACCATGTGCAGCGGGTTTTGGGGGGATCTTAGTGTGACAGAAGTATCATCTGGTTCCATATTTACATTGCCTAACCAATCGCAGACACTCTATATGTACCGAGCAACTTTGACAACATCACTATGCTTACATGGTTCGTTAATTAATATGGTAAACAGTGGATGCATGCGTACATCTGTACATGATCTGTGTCTATATCCAGGGTGATGTCGTCATTCAATATCAATAATTATTAATTTCCCTCAAAATTGAAAACCCTGAATGTTGGTCAAGTCGTCTCTGAGTCATATTGTCCCCGAGCTGGCGCAAAAACGGCCAACGAACCAGACGTGTATTTTTTTTGTAGGCAAAATTGATAGGGGCCAAAGCCTGGGCCTACCTTTCCAAGTCGATCTCCTTTGGAAAATGGCTGATACGGAATATCTTTAAACTGCTCCGGTACTGCACACGGCCCCCATCCAGTGGGATTCTCTTGAATAACAGGAGGGACAAAATGTGCCGACATTTTGGGTTGATTTCTTTCGCAAAATACCACAGCTGCTGTAAATTCCTTCCATGTGAGGAAATCGCACCACTTAGTTCCCGCCGCAACCTAGGCCCAATTTCGCACGCGGAGCACAGTGTGAGAAATTGTAAAAAGATGAACGGAACCAGACTAGGTGCTGTTCATTTATGCAGCGCCCTCTACCATTATTATATGTCCAGGCACGCGGGCCTCACTTGTAATTGTCCGAATAACTTGGCTTTGGCTTGAAATTACGTCAAGTCTATGGTTATGGTAGTCTTGGCCCAAGACGTCAGTGATCGATAGTATTTCTGTTGAGGAGCGCCCTCGCACAACTAGTTTTTACTTAGCTGGCGCACAGTCTAATTATGAGTCGTTAGGAGGCGCACTATGCACGGTGTCCGCTAACGAGCTTCAACGTCTTGAAATCAAGATTATGGTTGTGGCTGAAGCCGCGCATGTGATTTCAAGCCACAGTCAAGTACGTAACACCTACATGTACATGTACACACTGTACATGTACATGTGTATTTCCCATAACAGGCAAAACTATTTTTAAGTCGTCTTAATTATCTTACTAATTCTATTTTTAATGTCCTAAATACTGTAAGGCACCATGGAGCATCATGATGAAATTGGTGAAAATGTGTTATTATTCTTGTTATTATTAAGCCGTAGAACTGCGCGGCGCGCAGCTTATTCCGCACTCCGCTGTCTCCCGAGGGGCGGAGATCGTGAGATAGGTAATTTTGAGGGGGCACCTATTGCATGCAACGCGCCTTTCGGTATTTCTGTTGTCTTCCAAAGTTCTGATATGACATGTTTCTTTCACCTCGCACCACACTGAATGGGCATTAATTCTCTATGATTTTTAGAAAAAAAAATCAGGATTTTATGAATTAGGGATATTGCAGGTTTTAAATCCGTCCCCTACCAAGCACATTTTTGATTTCCTAAAGAACTTGAGTTTGTATATTTGCGGGAAAATGGGCGATTAGTAAAAAAAAAAAAAGAAAGAAATGAATAAAAGTTGACAATGAGCAATTTGGATGCAATCGGGTCCGAAAGTGACACTATTTTAGCCATTTTGCAGAGGGATGCATTTTCAAAATGGCGTCTTTTCCGGGCAGTGAAATTTCCGTCATTTTACCTCATAAATTCATTGGTCAACCCCCCGAAAATTGAAAGGAAAATGAAAGGGGACATGTAGAACATCATTTTTCTGTGCAGACTGAACACCTCTGAGAGTTGTGAGTATATTTAAAATATTTGTGAAGTATGGGGATTTATCACTGCTGTCTATGGGAATTTGTTTGCTGCGGTGCACCCCTATGCGGTAATAGCCAAAAAACATGCCCTCTTTTGTTAAGCTCGGAGCAGATTCAGTCAGTGTTAAGTGATTTGACGGATCTGGAGCGGCGGCTGTCGTGCGCATGGAGTATACCCACAAAAAACGTCGCGGCAAAATGCATGTGTAGCGCATACGTGCACACGCTTTTACGTGTTTTTTGGCGCAGAGCAAAATGAAACGCCCATCTACTGATTGTTCGTTCAGGTTTTCGAGTTTTCCATAGGTTTGTGCACAAACATGGTTGCACCCACCCAGCAGGCATTACTTTGTATATGAGTCACAGCTCTAGTTTTATATATAGCTTTATGTCTCAAGTTCATTGCCAATAAAGAAGAATGTCCGGGAAGATTGAAATACGAACCTAACCAAACTACGCACGTGAAGCCACTGGAAAAGTCCAATACACAGCCGGCCTTAGAGCCACAGACCTAAAGGCAGGGAATTCCAATGGGATCCAAGAGGGCCGGGGAGGCAGGAAACAAGAAGCTTGCACGTGACAACGACAACAAGAGTCCATTTCACTGAGGCAAAGGTAGGGAATTCCCCTGCACAAACAACTGTTCCCCCTGCAATCGCTTTCCACTGTGAAAGTTTTGAAATTGGAATTCTTCAGTTTCTTGAACTGAGCTGGGTTGGTCTGAATTAATTTGAATCCAACAAAACTCAAGCAAATCAAATTAATCGAATCAAATTACATTGTTCTAAGGGACGCTTTAACCACACGAGTAACAGAAATCATTTTCTCACTGTAAATTACTCCAAGTCTTGATTAATTAACTGGTGTCTTTCCAGAAGTATAGTAACGAGACGGTCTTTCCGTAAGTTGACCTCTTGAAAGATACTTTGTATCACTGTGTGCGTTACTGATGTTTTCCAAATCGGAAACTGTTGCAAGAGAAGGTCTCTGGTGCAGTGACCCAGAAATTTACACTTAAGGATGAGCTCCACGAATCACCGTCCCTGTTTTCATTTTCAACGCCCAGATGGAAAGTTTCACTGTTTCAATGGTGATAATCCGAACTGCAACCCTCTGAAAAAAAAATCCTGTCCTCTGAGGAATGGGATTAAGAGCGGGGACTTATTGTGGCATTCGGCAAAGACGTATACATGTAAATTTCTTGAGATTCTTCGGGAAAAAAAGAAAGAAATTAGCAACTTTAAAGCCTGCTACACACGATATTTCCAGGCAATCTCTCGTGATCCAAGTGCTAACGGGGCCCGAAGTTTTTATTGCAGTGATTAGACGAGAACTGGTGCATTTCACGTATGAGAAATATCAGTGGCTTTATTTTTCTTTTATACTCGCTATTTTTCTTTGGTCTCAAAACTGAACTTCAATAAAATTTGATATTTCATATTTAATAATTAAAAGATTTGGCTGTTTTCCTTTGTATTTTTTCCCTAAAGCGATATTAACATTATAAACTGTGTGGTGCCAAAATGGTATCCGACGCAATAAATCTTACTACATGCACAGCACATATACAGTACATTTTTTGGAAACCGCGCAGCTCGTGGACGCAATGCATGGCGGGAGTAATCTTAAGCTCTCCCAAAATGGCTGCCATCGGTCGTGTGTCTGCCTTGGCGAACCTGAAAAATGTTGCTACACTGCATAACTTTAGAGGAACAATTTGCAGAGTAATAGCCTCAGGAGTTGTGAGGAATGGGTGTTGCTCATTGCAACTTACTCGGAGTAGATATTTTACAAGTTTTAAAGGTGTTTCAGAGGTAGGAATTTCAGTGATCAGGTGATAACAAACACGCATAGCGCTTGACCGTGATGACACGAGACGAGAATCGCACTGCGCTAGCGTGGCGAAGCAGAAATCAGTATGTGATGTAACTTCCATTTCCAGTCTTGTGACGAGTCACTAAATTTAGCGACTGGAGTCTAGTCGAGTCATAAAACTGTGACTCGAGTCGAACCATTAGGTTAAGTTGAGTCGGGTCACTTTGATTTGTGGTCACTTGACCGACTGGTAGTGGTAGGCATGGTAGTCCTAACCCCCAGAACTGTGGGGTCCGATGTCCGGTCTGCTTCCACAAGTATAAGGAGCGGATTGGCACGAACGTTGAACTCGAAACCCCATTCTCATGGGACTCACGAACAGTGTTCTTGGGTCATTGATTACGAATGCAGAAGTGCAAAAGTAGTGCAGCTGCGCTGAAGGTCAAGATAGCAGTCGCCATTTTGACACCAAATGAAAAGATGACATGACATTAACCATCTCACATTAAATAAAACCCCCAAATATCCATATTAAATGGTCAGGGTAAATTCTCTCCGATAGCCATGAGTATTTGCCCTGGGTTTATTTTCCTTATTGTGAGTGTTTTCTATTTAATGTAACAGAACCAACATTAAGTTACGGTATGTGCCTATATCCGCCATCTTTGTTCTTGATGTTCTCCATCCTTTCCCCAGGGTGTGGGGAGTGAGAATCTTGTTCGCAAACAATGTTTGCGTGTTGATTCTTCCCGTTCGAAACCCCGTCCTCGTGTTCGTCTAACACGAGGACAGGGTTTGGAATATGCCTCATAGTTCTGGGGGTGGTCACTGTTGGGAGGGAGGCTCATTCAAAATTGTCAAATATTTTTTTGTCTGGTTTATTTTTGAAGTGATCTTGGAGAGGGTGTGATGAGAAATATTTTGATATATGTTTGGATTCCATCAGACTCTGCAAAGCACAGAAAAATACGCTAGATTTGAAGCAGGAATGTTGCCAGACTTTTTTTAACACATAATGCAGAGCAAACTATTTTGCACACAAAAATATGTGTGAATTTTCACTGAAAAGCTCAAAATTACTGTTTTTGTAAAATCTTTGTTCGTATTGTTGCCTTGTTTCAATGAATTAAATGCTGGCTGCACTTCAAATTTCAAAATTCGAAATTAAAAAGAGGAGCTGCAGTGTGCAAAAACAGACAAAGTTTAATCACAATTTCCTATTAAGAAAATGAGTTTCCAAATAAACAGCGCCCTCATTCATGTGTACATGCCCCTATTTCTGGTACTGGTAGGCTAAGCCTATTGTTGTACATGTGCATGATAGTATACCAGTACTAGGCCTATATAGTCGCCACCCAAATCTGAATTTTGGCCTAAATCTTAACAATCATGTATTTTTTTTTTGGGTTTCAGGTTAAAGCAAGATACAGTACTTTCATAAGTCTGCTTTCAGTTCGACCTGGTTTAGTCTTTCTTGACAAGAAGATGTCTTTCTGATAATAAATTTGATTCGGCCATGCTTAGGTGGCGACTCCAGGGCTGCATGTGTGTCAGTTCATCATTACAGTAAATGTGCCTGTTATTCTGGAAAATTAATAGCACAGTTAACCACTGCATACTTTTTAGTATATTGGGTGCAAACATTTCAATACCCCTCCAGAAAAACCGAGGAGGAAATATATTTATTACAAAAGCCAAATGACGACGAGTTACGTGCATTACTATGGGCGGAGCCTCGTTTTTGTTCATAAAATCCTGGGCCAATAAATGCACCCCTTGCCGCAGCGGCAGCACAGTCTCGGCAATGCAGATTGGTTATTTGCATTCTGCATGGGACAAAATCATATTTTCACACAGGGAACCACAGTTCTTATGGCAAATATGGTTAGAGAAAAGCGTACTTGCGTACGGCATGGTTTTGGACATGCATGTACAGATTCGCTTACACCGCATGGTCTGCATCAATAAAAATAGGCACATTATAATTAATCATTATAATGAGATGCGGTGTACTGCTTCATGCCGTCGCCTGAACGGTCGGAAGAGCTAATTTGCATATGCATGATTGGTTGAGGCAGGAAATGCTAGGCAAAGCGTGAGGTCAGAATAACCTGCGGTACAGTTATTAGTGAATCGGGAGGCAAACTATTTATCATAAAATCTTTGACCCTTAATTAAAGAGCAACTATTTTAGACGTCCAATTGTTCTTTGCTCCAATGGCAACCGCAGGGATGTGGCAACTATACTGTCATGCACGTTAGTTGAGTAGAGTCAGGTACCTAGCTCGAGTCAATTTGAGTCACACATTTTGGAGCAAAAAACAAAAACATAACTACATGTAAGTCATTTTTTGGTATTTTTTTATTTTCATTTAGACAAACTGAAAATAAATTAGGGTGAGAGTCTTATAAGCTTGTACTTAAGTCGAGTCTCCATGAGAGATTCGAGTTGTGTCAAGTCATTTGGTCACAGACTTGAGTTGAGTCAGTTCATTTACCCGTTGGGGCTTGAGTTGGTCGAGATGCCGAAAATTGTGACTCAAGTCAGACTCGAGTCGAGTCGTTGACTCGAGTCATTACAAGTCTGGATATAACGTTAGGTCTAGCCCCACTGGGGCCACTCATGGGTAGCCTACTTGACTAGGCCTGCCTTTGTTCTCCATATCCTTGGCCCTGTTCAGCGCAGTCTTTAAATGCGCAAATTTAAAAGCGTTTGTGCGTGCAATTGCCAAGTTTTAATTTTTAGATTTTGTGCAACCACAGATAGGTCTATTGGTTTATTGCCCCTAAAATTGGGCACAATGATCAAACTTTCTGAACAACATGAATTGCAGGCAACAGTCGTTTGTAAGAGACTTGTGTGAACATGATGGAGTACAAGTTGTGCATGAATTTAAATGTCGGTATTGTTAGGTCCGTTTTCACACACAATTTGTGCTGCATCATGTGTGGCACTTACAGGGCACATGCTGGCAGGTACATGCCAGCAGAGTCATGTTGGACAAAGTTTCACCCGTTAGTTTCAAGCTTTCTGATGAACAGTGCCTTGTGAGAGCTATGAAATTCCCCTGCTGACATCTAATTAAGATTTTATTTCCATTTTAAAAATCTGCAACAAAAGCAGGATCTCAGACAAAACATATACCGATCAGAAAAAGTTAGGATTTTGAAATGACCCCAAGAACCACTTGTTTGTACTAGAATTGTTTTTGCCAATTTACTCAAGGCAAGAGTTTCATAGCTGGACTGGTGCCGTCCCAAATAAGCTAGAGAGCGACGGTCGTATGCTTACCATCATGACTCCTTTTAAAAATCGCTCAGTTTGAGGCACAATAACTTTGTACATTCAAAGATTGCACTTGACGTTATCTGCGGCGTTCTGCGCAGATTTGAAAAATGTGCAATCTAATCAAAATTACACAAGTAAAATTGCACAAGCTGTGCAAATTTTAAATTTTTGCACTTTCACAAATTTCGCTCAACAGTCTCACGACTGCCCCCCCAAAAGTGGGGACTTTATGAAGAAGCTTCCTGTGAACCCCATTTTTCAGTTCCTAACACTGATTTTTGAATGCTGCCCAGTCAGATCAGATCAGCGATCAGGGTTCTTTACTTCGATCGCAAATTCAACAATTCAATTAAATCTCCCCTGCAAAAAAAAACCTGTCAAACCTGATCCATACTATAACTTAACGCAGCAACAACTAGGCCACACGGATGTGGTTCTCGCTCAGTGCTGACTGTTTGAAACAAGTGCAACGGGTCCACTGCAAAATATGCACTTTATAAAGAAAACAAAGATTGGTGCTTTTTTAGCCGATCAAGGGGATGGAAACAATGTTTTTCTCAACAGTTTAGTCAGGGAAGTTCTTTCACAGGCAGATACTTCCTGAGTGCCTGGTCATTGCTGTTTGTTGTTGATCTTGTCACCTTAAAGATGGTGGAGGAACATGGCTTTTTATCTGACACATTGCCTTCTGTCTGCAGGTTCGAGTCTTTAGGCCGGTGGCAATTCAAGGGGTCCGCCATTATGCGGAGCTACCTGACCTCACATTTGCCCAAATTGAAGAGAGGATCCTAGGAGTGTTGAAGCTCTTTGATAAAGTCAATCCAGACAAGGTATGTAATGCAGAGAATGGGGGAGGAAGTCCGGTTGGCGCAGTGACACTGGGTTCGAATCCCACCTAGGTCCGCATGTGGATTGGGATTTCACTCCCTGGCTGACTCTGTGGGTTTCCTCTGGAACATTCATCTGGGGTTTTTTTCTTACATGTACCTTCAACCCTGAACATTTTCCTAATATTACATGCAAACATAGTTTAAGTAGATGTCCTCCTATCATCCAAGTTGCTAATGATGGCCCATGGAAATTCACTCTAGAATGGACATGGCTACCATCAAACGACAAATTTGTGAATGAGGTTTGTAATTTGTCTTTAAACTCAAGAATATTGGGAAATTTGGTTCTAAATTAATGTGCCTGTATTGCACCTCTTCCCTTTATTGACAGCTAACGTTGGAGAGTCATTTCATCAATGATCTCGGTCTCGACAGCCTTGATGTTGTAGAAATCGTCATGGCTATTGAAGATGAATTTGGTAAGGGCTTCCTGCTTTGGATTGTATTTTAAGAAGTAAATTGTTTTCATTGTTCAGTTTTGATTTTGATAAAAAAATAAATATTATTCAATAGTCACCATCCAAGGTTCGAAAACTTTTTTGCTGATTAAATCTTTGATTACACGTGCCATCAGGTATTTGTTTTAATCTTGATTCAAAAATGGTACCTATTAACAGTTGTAATCAGAAACTAGAAACATAGTTTCCAAGTTAAATTTGAAATCATTCTTTATAATAAACCCAATTATTTATATTATTAAGTATTATTTTCCTGTTTATCCAAGGTTCAAAATACATTTGACTTTGAAACTGTCTAAAAATTCTCATGACCACACTGAAGTGTCCTTTTTCTGTCCTGTGGGTAATTCCGGTCATTAGGGGTCCAAAAATGTAACATTTGTTTTGCAGGTAATTTGCATTAATTCATCACACTTGGAATTTAGAAAATGTGTTCTGCACTTACAAAATCATATGTCAGATGTGACAGGTACACGAAAAAACATGGACCCCCTTATTTCTGGAATTACCCCTATATATTGCCAAAAAGCTTCCTCAGCTTGTATGGAATAGAGTATACCACTGGGAAATCTCATAGTGAAACTTCAAAGAAACATGTGGTAGCCGGGTGGACAAATGACTTATTAGGCTAGAAACTCGGATACCTTACCTCTTTGAGTGAGGCTTGGGCAAAGGCCTTCAAACTTGGGCCATTGTCACCAGTTGCCATGCATTGCGTCGATTTCACTCTTACGAGTCTGATTGGCAGAGACCACAAGTCAGTGCATCATTTCAACAACCCTCTAAGTCTCTGACTCCAAATCACAATGGAGGCAGAGTCCAGATAAGCTTGCCTCACCGAAACCCCCAAAACGACTTCAAAAAGTGCTTGTGCTCGGCGATATTGTGCGCAACAGGAAACATGGCATTTCGTGAGTTTAAACACACCTTTGCTGGGCATCATGTTTTCACATCAACAGCCCTGGAGATTCCAGACAACCACGCGGAGAAGTTGTTCACACCGAAAGACCTGGTGGAATATATAGCAGACAAAACAGAAACATTTGAATAACCTCTGTAGGTAAGTAGAATAGTATCACAAACCTAGGCTGTGTCTAAAATGGCCTTTTACCGCTGTGGCTGTGGATGTTCTCTGTAGCATGCCAATACCAAATCATAGTCAAAGCCACATAGCTAATTTGTACAATAGACTGGACCCTTTCACCCCAGGGTCCGCTTTCTAATGATTTGGTTGTGCACGTAGTTCAGGGTACTCGACCAAAGTGGCTTTGTCATTGCTGCTGTCCATATTTACATCTGAAGGTATTTCTCATTTGTTCCTCGGAGTACAGACCTATTTGATCTTCATGAATAAGGTCGAAGAGTAGTGAGATTCATTTTAAATGTAAACGGAATGTCTTTTAAGAAATACTTCACGTCACCTTCAGTCTGATGGCACAGCCACAAGTAACCTCATTGTTTACCTGGCAGAAGGGCATTCAGGGCTTCGTTTAAAATGCACCTGACATCGTAATAGCTTGCTTTATACACTCTTCTGTCAGGCAGCAGACAATCTATAGTCTGCAGATTTGTGTGGTCAGGTTTTTTTTTCCTTTGTGTCTGATTGATTTTATGTACCGATGAATTTCAGTTTTCCAAGACTTTAAAAGTTGCATTACTGTTGTGTGGGAACACCTTCCTAAAATGGAGAAACTTCGGATGGAGTGACTGGAACAAATGACCACGGCCGCATAGCCACGCCCATCCAAGCAACCTGCCACACCCTCCTGGTCAACATTTACTACGTGCGGAGTGTGTTCCTTGGAAGTGATGATTTTAAGTTGCGCACTGGGCACAGAGCCAGTTTCACAGAGCTATCCGACAAATTGGTGACACATTCAAATGCCTTGGGTTGGCCTCGTGATTGATGTACTTGGCTGCGGTCGATGCTCAGTCACGTGCTACTCGGCAGCAGTGTCACCTGTATGTGTCACAGCTCTTTGGAAATGGCCCTGTATCAGGAAACACCAGTGGAGAAAATGTAGACATTGTTGTAATGGGTTACTCAAATAAGCGTAACCTTAAACTGGTCAGAATTTCTGTCATTTCCCCTTCCTGGATTTGTTAAGAGTGCACGTCACTGCTTTATTAAATTACTTTTACAAACTTGATATGTAAACTGTTTTGATTAGACATCTGTTCATCAATTGTCTATGGCTTTAAAAACTGATACGGAAATGGCATCTGTGTGAGGAAACAAGTAACACGTGCCCATTTTGACTTAGGACAACTGAAAAAGAAGTGTTGTCCGGTTTCCTTTTCTCTCTGTAAACTTGTTGCTATCTGGTCATAAGGGCTGCTTAGTTCTTGTCTACAGTCGAAAATGCAAGGTTCATAGGATTAATTGACCTCCATTTATTGACGGAAGTCAGAACTTTCTTAAGCTGAGTAGCAGCACATTGCAAGCCAAGCATACTCCTGAGTCATTCATGTTTTTAGATGTTCCACTTTCACTCCAAAATCCGAACCCTGTAGAAGAGAAATGTAATTAAGTTGACAGTTACATGTATGTTCGATTGTGATCTCCACACCGTTGACTTAATCTCTTATGTGTTGTGCAGATGAAGATTGCATAAATAAAAATTGGCAGAGAATTTGATTGATGAGAACACGTAGGAGTGCCAGTTGGAGACTGGGTGTTTTTGCCTGAAGTGATCAAGCTTGTTTCAAAATTGGTAGTAGGGTCTAAAAGATGTACAGTTGTTGCTTTGGCGCTTGCATCCAACTTCATGGTGGTGTTAAGCTGAAGTGTATCGCGGTTAGAGCAACAACCTTGCTTGAGCCGGTCATGAGCAACAAACAGTACATGGCATTTTGCTGTTGGTTTGCTCGTGTTAAGCAAAATATTAAATGTGCTTAGCAGATTTCTTTCGGCTTAGCATCTCTTTGAAGCCTTGCTGTGCCGTTGTACAGCCCAAGCAAACCCCAGCAAAAATTGTTTCATTTGAGTGATAAGTTTTCTTCACACGAAGTTGGACCCTCTCATCATCAAAACATTGTAGACTAAAGTATCGTCGTGTTATGGAGTCAACCCTATTAAAATTATTCCCGATTTATGTTACGCTGGACCCGTTTTTCGTTTTTCAATTAAACATGAATACAGAATTGTTAAAAAAAAACAGCCTTGCAATCGCAAATTATTTTTTCATTTGTGTCTTGTATATCGTAAATAAACTGAGCTCACGGCGGCCGTTGGCAGCAATACCCTTCGGTAGAATAGGGGAGTAATCACTGACATTTTTGCTTATAAAATCCCGAAGAATTTTCTCCCTGAAAGTTTTCTGTAAAATCGGTCAGTTTATGGTATACAACCGGGAGATGTGTGGGTGATGGGATGGAGACAGGTCACTGCGCCTGTGCACATTCCGCTGTTTTTATCAACAGTCATGTCAACCTACATTCACCACAATGCCACAGCAAGACTGTCTTGCCATACGTTTCAGTGCACGCTTGCTATACATTGTATATGCATGCATGGGCGGAGATTTGTGGGGGATGATTTCTGAAAGGTCATCCCACGCCCAGGTGAGATCGTGACGCCGGTAAGTGCAGAGTCGGTGTTGCAGGCTACGGGTGTGCATTAGGTCAGACATTGAAAGTGGGGAAATGGTTATTGGTAATCCCCCAGGTTAAACCGTGGAGGGATATATCCCCATCAAACAGGTCAAACAGTGGGGGGAATATCACCATCAAACAGGTCAAACCGTGGAGGGATATATCACCATCAAACAGGTCAAACAGTGGAGGGATATATCACCATCAAACAGGTCAAACAGTGGAGGATATATCACCATCAAACAGGTCAAACAGTGGAGGCATATATCCCCATCAAACAGGTCAAACAGTGGAGGGATATCCCCCCGGACATGTAAATGTATTGAACCTTTACATGACAATTGTTTGGGAGGTGAGTACTGTTTTCTCTACATGGGACGAGGATCTCATGTGGTACGAGGCTGTGTTTTACATTACCGACAATGTGAGGAGTGCATCTTAAATGCATATATTTTTTTCTGGGGGAAAACAGAGACTGAGAGAAAAGTTACCCAGTCCCATGGGCGTCGATCAGTTTTCAAACGAGGGGAACATCGCCATGATAAGAACTATTGCGATCGTGCAGCTCGAAGCCCTAACAGCGTCCGGGGCTCGCTTAAGGGATCCGGGAAACCTTGGATTCTAGGTGGTTTGTGGTGCAACCTGAGGCAATATCTGACCACATTCATTTTTTTCTAGAATCTGTTTTTGCGAGATTTATTTTTATTTTTCAAATCTGAAATATATGATTCAAATGTAGGCCTATTTCCGTCCAGTTTTGTTTTGTTTAGGGTCCGGGGGAAAAAATAAAATAGAAAGTGGGGATGGGACATATCCCCCGTCACCCACCAATTATTGAAGCCAATGCTCAGTACAGTGCCAGTGAAGATATACGTAGTAAATATTCCAAGGGTCTGAATAATTATTGTAGATTTCACCAAGCATGTTGCATTCACGTTACTACAATTAGGCACATGATTATTGCGTTGGTTACATTTTACTGATCTACTCTCGATGTTGTCCGCCATTGAGTCATTGGTACATTACAGTCATTTGGTTAGCCAGGCCAGAGGGACACTTGGTCTTTTTAGACAAAATGAACCTAAGCCGCTAAAGCCTAACTCACAATCCCGACATCCTTGCTTTGGTTGCATGGTGTTGTTTCTCGGGGTTTTGGTGCTACTATTGGATAAAGAAATAAATAAATGCAAAGCACTCTCTTTCCTACTCACGGTTTCGGTTTTCTTTGTTAAAAAAAAACACCGAAAAAATCCATCCCCTTCCCCCCCGCTGGATACGTCACTGCTTAGTATCGGTACCAAACTCTGTTTTCAAACTGGGGAAGCGGAAGAGATTGTCTTGATGATTTGTGAAGAGAGTAATTCTAAACGCTATTGTGTCGTTTTGATCGAGTATTTATTTTATGTTTCAAGTTCCTCGTCCAACAGGGAACTTCACACAAAAATGCTATCCTTGTCCTGTTGATAGCATGTGGCTGGTTACCCCGGGGGGTTATGCTGTGGGAATACAAGACGCAGACAGCAGCGAAGAACAAGGAAGAGCAGAAAGTTCAACTCGTTGAGCTGCAGTAACAATAACGGTCTCGTTGTTACTCAATTTCCGCTTAAATTGAGGAACCATCTCCCTAGACTGACACCGTGTCTGCTTTCCCTTCCCCTCTCTTCACACGGGGACGGGTCGGCAGACGTTCTGCATTAGCAATACACGGCCAAGAAAGTTGGGGAGACCGCTGTGAAGTCTACTACAGTCTGAACGAATGTGAGATATAAAAAGAAATTACTGTGAGATTGTGTTTTGTCAGATAAGTGGATAGATTAGGCCAATCGATAAATGCCTGTAGGTCCTAAGTCCACTGGAAAAATTCGTCTGTCTGACTCGACCTTATGACCAACTTGGCACTGACTTCCAACTTTCACCCAGAGACCATATTATTTTTCTTCGTTGGACAACATTCACTTTCATTCCACTCAAACAGCTCAACAGACATTGCTGGATCGATTCTCTCGGTACATTATCTGCAGCAGCATGTCGAGGATTTCGCGCAATGGCGAGCGCCTCCTGGACTCGGAGTCCTTGTACCCTTGGTACAGCAGGGAGGCCGACCAAGAGCTGCAGGAAGGAGAGGGCTCATCAAGGCCCGTCCAGGCCGAACACAAAGCCGAGGCTAAGCCTCCCCGTTGGCCGTGGTTCATTTGGTTTCTCCTGAAGCTGCTCGGCCTATACAACCGCCGGCCCGCTGTGGCCAGGCGGCGTCGCTGCCTGCAGTGCCGCTTGACCGCAGTCGAGATGCGCTGCGTCATTAGAGGGAAAGGGGTACCGGGGTACCTGTACCCGGGGGCCAGCTCTTGGGAGGATGAGGAGGAGGGACCAGAGGACAGCGGGCCTGGCACCCTGGAAACTCAGTTCACGATCAATGGAGACGGGGGGAGCGAGGACAGTGAGTTGGGGTTCGTGGTGCCTGAAGACCCGTGCTTGGTGTGCCAAAGCGAATGGTGGGACGCCTACGGAAGACACAGACCTTACACAGAAGCTGATATAGGTAGGCAGAGAGATTTTCTTAAATTATGCAGCAAATGTGCGTCTCGAAACCTACTCACCCGAGGCTATTTCATATAGAAGTGGCAGGTTATATAATGAAGAACAACGCTTAAAAAATCAACGACGTCCCAGAAAACATCGGAGCATAAACGCGACGGTTGAACTGCATGAAAAAGAACACGCATTATACATACGGCCAAATTGAAAAATAACATGATTAGCGTCTGGGATTCTGAAAAAAAAGAAGAGCCAGGTTTTGTTTGATATATTTTAAGTTTGTTTGATTTCTAGATGGCAGCCACTGCTCTTAAAATTCCCAACAAAAATAGGTTTTCCAACTTTTTCAAAGCATTATAAAAAAGTTCGACTTGCCGCATTTTCCGATGGATTAAATGACATTTTGCTTTTTATCCTGATTTTGACGTTCGTTGTTTAAAAAAACCAAGAAACAAAATAACAAAAACAAATAAAGGGCTTCCAAATGGACAGCTCCAAATCAAATCAACCCATTTCAACCCAAGTAGATCTAAATAGACAAGGAACTGATTGACGTTGCCACAACACAGGACGTTCTCGTTGACTTGTAAAATACAACTTGTCAATTAACACCTCGATGGCAATTTCACGATTGCCCGAGCGTCTTTCATTTAAAGGAACGTATAAATGTACTTAAATCACCGCTGTAACCATTTTCATATCTTTTCAAAGTACAATTTTTTGCACATTTGCGCACGTATTTATCCGTAAATGTTTTACATCTTGATGTCACTTCACAAACATTTTGCCCTCTAAGTTGACTTCATTCGCCTCATTAATATGCAGAAAACAGTTCACCGATAATTTTCAAGTTACTTGGCCGACCAGTTTCTTCCGCATTTTACTGTATTTCGGTTTTCCGAATTCGACTCCATTAGTCTGCGCCAACATTGTCATTGATGCTACTTACACATTGCGGTCTCGTTATTAATTAACATAACATAATTATGCACCATGGCAGGTTTCAAACAACTATTTTCATGCATGAAAATTACAAGGAAACACAGCACACTGGTCTTTGTGTTGATGAGTTCGCATTCGATTATAGGAAGTTTTTCCTAGTTCATAACTTAATTTCTAAACCAGGCAGAAACCAAGCAGAACGCTCATTTCCTGGTTGTGGTTATATTGGTTCATTTCAGTGACTAACTGAAGCCACGGCTTTATCTGGGAATTTCTTCTCACTTGGTAATATGAGTAGGAGAACAGTAACCTTGAGGAACAAAACGAAACCTTGACGCTTAAAAATAATAGAATCTAAGTTTGCGATGTGCAGTTTGTTACTTACATTGCTATCTACAACAAAATTTATCAAATATTGCATAACAATTGAATTAACGGAATATATTCAGGGGTGAGATTTGTCAGGATTTTTCCTGATTTCGAGATTTTTCTTTATAATTTTCCCAGACTTCAGAATTTTCATGTGATCCCTTTTAAAATCTGGAGTACCAATGAATAGTTTGTTATGTGCAAAAGCTTATAGAGCGAAAATGGGCGATGTCGGAATTTTTTCCATGGGGGAAAACCATTTTTTGGACTCGCAATGGGAAAAATGAAAACAAACCTGGCGACAGACGAGAATTGATAATTTATGATAAAGTGTGGAAGGGCAATATTCTAAATGCAAACTCGTGACTTTCATCCCATTCCCTCTCTTATTTCTATTTACTTCGTTTTTTCCCAAACTTTTTTAATGTTCTCTCATTTTTTCAAGGGGAGGGGGCAAGTGCCCCCCTTTGCCCACCCCTTGCGATACCTGTGAGAGAGTACATATATTTTATAGGGTGTATTTAGGCAAACACAAGTGTGTAACGTACACCCTACGTTGCTATGGGGCCGTCAAAACCTCTGGTGAATATTTTGTGAAAAATTCATATTCTCCAGTCTCAGTGGTGTATATTGTACAAAACATTTTCATATTCATCACTGCTATTTCATTTTCGAAGCCTTATACTATGTTTTACAAATTCATATGCACATTTTCAAAAAACGGTCCGGAAAAACCTATATTTTATTCCACTTCATTAATAAAAACGTACTTCCAGAAGTACAAAAATAATATCAAATAAACTAGTAGAGTGACAAACATTTTCAGTCTGCTGGGACAAGCATGCATAAAATAAAATAGACAACAGAAAAAAATTATAATAACAAGAAGGTAGTAATAGAGCTGTTTATAGAGAAAGCTGCGACATCAGTGTCTCAATATTTGTTGGAACCTGTAGCGTATGGTAATTTCCGTACATTCTGATGCGTAATCTCGTGAAAATATGTGGGTTTTTCTTTTCCTCTGTTTTGTTTAATGCAGGTGTGTCCAAATGGAACCACTACGGAAGTCCTGCCCTCTCCGTGATTTGGCAAGTCCTTATCCTTGCCATCAACATGGTCCATTACTTCTCCTACTTTGCAAAATATTGGGGTGAAGCTGAAAGGAGATTTGACCTGGTCATCTACTCGGGCTTCGTGCTATTCGTCGTCTCCGTCCCGGCCCTTTGCCTGGTCGCCAATATCATCAACATGCTCCCCAGTTGGCGGAACAAGAGCCGGAGTTACGCCTGGTCCAACGCTCTCAGCATCCGGTACATCGTAAAGCGGTTGCAGCACCTGAAATTGACGGAGCAAGGACTGCCCTATAAGGCTTTCCTGCTGGTGTGCCTCGCCTGGCCGCTCGGTAACAGCATTGGGAGGGTTGCGTTGTTTCACGACGTATCGCATACGATCGTCCACATCTCTCTTGCGTCCTGCACCGTCACCATGGAGATCTGGGGAGCGTTCTGTTACATCGTTGTGCTGATGCGGCTCTCGTTCCAGAGTCAGTTTGAGGTGGAATTGGCGTTCCTCCGAAAGCACAGCGACGCCATGGACCGATGTCGTCGCCGGCTGACTCTCCTCATGGAGGAGTTCGGCAGCTTGGGCAGCCTCGCGACCTTGTGGGTCATGTTCACTATCGCTGTGGCCACGTGGTCGATCGCCACCCAGGTCTACTTCGATTACGCTGTCAACAGCATGCACAACAAGACGATACCGATGTTCAACACCAGTCGAGACCTCGACCCAGTGATCTGGTCCGAGATCATGATGTTCCTGCTCTTGCCGCTGATGGCGGTGGGCGGGCTGGACTTGAACAGACTGTGGATCAGCTTCAAGCGGCACATCGGCGAGATGCGACTCATTCCGGGACGAAGCTACGACGCCTTCTGCGACAAGATCTTGGCCTACTGCAACGAGCACCCGCCCGTCAGGAGCATCGAGACGGTCACGCTGCTGGTGTCCGCTCTCGGTCTTTGCCTCGCAGTCGAATTCAAAGAGATAGAACAGTTTGAATTCCACCACTCCAATCATCTTTGACATTTTATTACAACAAGATGCATGTACGTCAAAAAGACAGCGTTATTATATGAACCCAATTGTTTACCACGAGTCTCGAGCAAATTACTTCGACAGTGTCTTCCATCATGTTCTGTAGATCTCTAAAGGAATGCTGAATATACATTTTTATTAATTTTGAACATTTTAGCCTTGTAAATATTGCTTTCGTCGAGTATAATTTTGTCGATACATTACACTTCGAATAGTGTGTCCTTTTGTCTGGCACCGCTATAGTTTCGGGACACATCTATTTGGTTACAATCTCAACTGAGCTTATTCTCATCTTCTCAACGTTAATTCTCAAACACAAGAGAAAAATGATACCACCATTATGAAATGTTGCGACGGATAAAACCAATGCACTTTTTCTGTATAAACGGGGAGGGCGTCATTAACTTTCAAGGAGCCGGGTTATTTTGGCCCACCTAACAGGCGGGGGGCGGGGCGGATTCCGCCTTTTTAAAGAACTCGGCTGTGCCACGTTTGATTTTTTTTAATCAGGGCATGCTTGTTAAGACACTTCTTATCATTAAACAAATGTGAAGGTTTTAATCCAATAAGATATATTTTTTTGGTTACAGTCATTTATGTATAGTGGAAAAAATAAACATTGTTGGCTGACCTCTCTCGTAAAAAAAAGCGCTGCCCAACAGCAGTTGGTTCGATTTTCACAAAATTGGAGTCAACTTAAGTGACCCCAAAGAATTACTCTAAAAACTCCCAAAAGGCTCAGCCACTGAAGAATAACACTGCGGCATGATTGGAAAAGATTGTGAGGGATGGGGCGGATTCCGCCCCGGCCGCAGTCTTTTAGAGTTAGACATAGAACCAACCGTGAGTTGGAATAGACAGTGTTATAATGTAAACAATAAGTAGTGCAGCTCAGGGCATGCAAAATATTTGTAGATTTATATAAATTATGTGTTTTAATTTTGCACAGAATTATGGCGATATAGGGATGATTTTTAAATCATTTGTACATAAAATGGAAAGTAAATCTCAATTTTTTAAAATTTCATATCAGATGCAGCTTAAGAGATTAATTAAACTAAAAGAACAAAGAGAATGGGCGAATTACAATAGTGTGCTTCCAAGAGTTTGCAACACGTTGGCCAATCACAATGCACGAAATCTGTCGACCCTTTCCGAAAGCGTATTGGGTCGACAGATTTTGCGCCTTGTGATTGGCCAACGCGTTGCGAACTCATTGGAGGCGCACTATTGTGAAAAGCCCGAGTTGGCAGAACGCCGATCGAGCTGCACAGCACCATTTCAACTTCAAAATAAAACCCGATTCATTTCTGTACCTTTGAATATTACACGTAAAATATTGTACCATGCAGTGATAAAATTATGAGCTTAGGAAAGGAAAACAGATCTGCTCGTGTTGTGTAGACAAGAAGTCATTCTTGTAGTTTTGTCATGCAAATACAAGAGCAATAATTTCTACGTTTTTATGTCACCTCGATTTCTTTATATTTTTCCAATAAAATTATCGTACGAACATGTCACCCACTCGCCCATCCATTTAATCTCGCTATGTTCCAGGAATCGTCCGCCGAATACAGCCACCGAATACATAAAATATCCTCATTAATCCACTTAGCCTACAGTCAGTCCATTAGATTGTCTAGTCAACAACCCACTTGCCGAAAACAGTTGCCATTACCATGAACGCCGCCAAGACGGGGGAGGAATTTTTTCCAGAATAAAAACCTCCAGGAGCAAACAGTCAAAAACAGTGGAAGGGGGTCAAGTTGAGAGGTTTTTTTTTCAAGCAAATTGGTGATTTTTATCTCCTTGTATCCTCTTTCAAAATGTCTTTCCACCCGTCCCCTTTTTTCTTTTTCATTTTTCACTTTTTCCCCCTGGGGTACGGCAAGCGCCCTCTTGCCAAATCCCTCGCGCGCGACACTGAAGCTAGTGGGGCAGTGGTTATCGCCTGGTGCTGGAGCGCCATCAACCCGAAGAACCGAAGGTCACCTGACCAGACTCAGAACACAAGGCCAGTTGGGGCATTCGTTGGAGCATAGCCTATTCGCGGTCCTGTCAGTACATTATTGATAACAGCGGAACAACACCTGCTTAAAGGGACACACACGGTCGTTTATCAAAAGCGCCATACCAATATGGTTGCTGGTCCTTACTAACTCCTACCCTGAGTACCGTTCGCGTTAAGTGTACCGTTTAAGCACTTGCCTGCACGGCTTTCATCACAGCAGAAGCCAAAGCAAAGTGACTTATCAATATCCAGCTATAGACAATCCCGCATATAGATTGAGAAGTGTTCGGTTTAGTACCATTGACCTGACAACTTAACCGTTACATGCCCAGGGAATTCGGAAGTTTTTTGGACATTCTGGTTGTCCAGGTGTATTAAATGTATTTTTTTGTTTTGGTCTATAATTTAAATACCACGATGTCAAACAAACAGGACAACATTTGTTTGTTTTGATGGTTAACTAAGTAATCAGCATTCGCAGCCGTAAGATATGGCTGAATTATTGCTAATTTACAATAAAGACAAGTTGAAAAGTACAAGTACATCAATATACATGATATACCAAATAAGGTATAAGGTAAAAGATAAAAGACTGCAAGAACACTGCTCGGGAGGTTGATTAAATAGACGAGATTAAATAACAAGTACACCACACTTCACCACAAAATGCGGTGTCAAACTGAACACCCCGGTGCTATCAGAGGACCACACGGACACTTTTCACTGGTGTTGAAAATTTAGGTGCACAGATAACACGCTACAACTCACAACTGCTGGCCCCCACCGCGCACATGACGGACCTCTTTGTGCCGAGAGCAGTCTAGTTCCCCGACGTGTTTTAAACGATTGTTGGTAAAAGTGCACTTACAGCTAAAATAGAATGTGATGCAGAATGCTATCCCTCCCCCCACCACAGTGCAACATTACTTAAAACACCGCTCGCCTGAACATTGAATGGAGCACTGTATAGACATTATGTCAGGAGCTGAATGAGGTTGGCAACGCAAACTCAGTCATTCAATTCGCTGACTATAGACAGCAATTGTGATATGAATCTGAAGTGCAGGACAGCTAAACCATGACGATGACAAACCCACCCCGTGTGTCAAATGCACTTTTTATGATATGGCATCTCACGACCACGCAGACATAGTGACAGGGGCAAGCAATTTACGTTGGAGCTCATTTCAAAAGTAAAGTGACCTTTCAAGCTCATTACGATGATCAGCATTGCAAAACGACGACGAAAGTCTCATAGTCGATTTTCAGCCACGCGATAGTATGGCGTTATAACACTATAGTACAGCGTAATGACGCTGGATTATGGCGATCATAAGGTTATAGTACGGCGACATAACGCCGAAAGAAAAAGGGTCCTGCCCAACGAGTTGTCGAATACGAGACACCGTAAATATCAACGTGTGTACTCCTGGCATGTATCACACTGTCTTGGCAGCGAATGCAAACATGGGCACTTTGTCAATAACTTGCCGTAAAGATGGCCAGCCGATCCCGGCAAGCTCGGTGGTCGAGTGGTTAAGACATCTGCACTAGTAAGCAGGAGGNTATATAATTGCCGTAAAGAGCAAAACTGTGATCAGCAGTACCTTAAATTGCCATTAGGTTTGACCGCAACCCTGACCGCAACCTATCAGAACTTCGCCAATCATACCCCTCCTCCCTTTTCTCCTCAATTGGACCAGCCACCGTAGCTTATGCACGCTTTCACTATCCAAGTAAGTAGGACGGATGCCAACATACTTTGCATTTGACGTTTTCATATCCCAATGTGAAAATCTGGTTTGAGTTTTTTGAATGTATTACTGCTCAGCTTAGGAGCTTTTGGGACTCTTTAGTGGTGGCTGTCTGTTCCCCTCCCCCCCCCGGTTGAAAAAAACTAGAACCACTCGTGCTATACGCCTTCTACCAGGAGTTCATGGGTTGGTGGGAGGCATCGGAGTTTTGCAATGGACAATGGGGACAATCTCGTCGTGCTAAACTCGAGCGCGGGGAATGATTTCATCTGGGCGATGATACAGAATGTAGTTGCCTCTGGGTTTCAGCTCGACCGTGGGGAATGGATCGGCTGTCAAGATGACAACGTCATCTCCGACCTCTGGTGCTCCGCTGGGTCTCAAAAAATGGACTTTGCACCAACTGGAAGTGATCAGAACATCCAAATAGGAACGGAGAGAAGTAAAGTGCGTTTTCTTTTAGAAGGGAGGCAACAGCAAATGGTTGGCCCAGGCTTGCAGTCCAAAAACCGGCAGATACGTAGCATGCCAGGTGCCCAACACGTCACGCATGCGTTGTTTGACGAGCGACGCAAATGGGCGTTTCGTCAGCAATTCGTCGTGAATGACGATCCCCAACCCCGACCATTCTCAATATAACAGGGCCTAGTGACCTGCAGAGCAAGCTTTTTCTCCTGAAAAACTACATCACTTGATGTGGACATCAAAAACTTAAGTAACAAGAACAGTTTCATATTACTCAGATACCGTGGTCTTTACCTTAGTTTTAAGTGTCAGTGTACTCGTATTTGCTGCAAACAATCAAGAGACTGAGACATATTTCGAATTTTACATACAAATAAAATGTAGAGCTTTCCTCTGCATTTTGGCCTAGTTGAGATACTTCGGATCTCAATTTAGTTCAACCTGAAAAATATACAAATTAGAGAATTCTTCGTTAAATTCCTCGTAATTGTTTTTACTGACACGAGTAAAGACCCACCCACCATCCCAAACGGGTCTATGGAGGTAATTCTTGTGTTTGATAATTAATTGCTATCCCCCACTATTAATTTTCATCCTTTCAGAGAATTTCATGACGCAAAATAATTGCGGGCACTCGCGGAAGTTGTGGAGTTTGCATCGTTCACTTGTATACTGCATGGTGCCATTTTCCAGGTAATTGTTAAGAAGTCTTCAGTCGGTGGTTTTGAACTTGAGCAAAAACGATCAGTCAGAAGTTTATCTGTGGTGGATGATGCCAATACAAAGTTTGAAAAATCTGACATTTGCAATACAAAGCCCTTTGATCTTTAGTCTTTGTTGACTCATATGTCAATTTGTTTTGTTATAAATTTTATATTTTTCTCGGATTCCTGGTATTATTGACTTTTATTTACTCCCTCGAATTTAGTCGAGTGGCAAAATCTACTGCTCGAAAGCGTTCATTAATATACGAACACAGATAGTGAGGTCTTGGAACCAAGACGACACCAGGGGCTGCGTGCGCGTTGCTTCACTTGCTCATGCAAGGCATTGTAGGAACCAACATGGCGCGACAAGATCGTACCCATCTGAGGTCGCTTCTGAAGTTGCGCGTTGACTTCTCGTTTCATGGTTCTATGAAGCTGTATGTGCAGTGGGCGTTGTTTAAACTTAAGTGACGTCACACTTAAAAACTGCAGATATCTGTTGATATCCCTCGAGTCTCATTAGATCCAGCCCTGCAGAAAAAAGTTGAATTAAACTCACATTGTCGACTAGATTTGCCTAAGGTGCATTCGTTTTGACTTTGGAAACATATATCCTCTTACTCACAGGTGCACTTTTAGTCCGGTTGATTGTCTTTTTGTAGAATTGGCAGAGGTAAAACACCATAATATAACCTGTTCCCCTCCCCCCACAAAAAACCCAACTTATACATTGCAACAGGGACCTTAAAGCGAAGTGACCATGCGAAATATCAGCAAGATAAAGTCTACGCCTCATCTCATGCGTGTGACGATATGACCGGGGATTAAAAACGAACAATAATAGATGACAAGGTCTTTGCACCAATGCTTGCAAAATGTTGAGGAATAATTCCTCGTAAAAAAATCAATATACATATAACAAGCAGTTCCATCTGAAAGCAAGATTTTGAAAGAATCGATAACTAAAACCGCACAATCCCATATCTCCTCGATTCCCAGCACGCAGTGCTTCCTCGTAGGAGAAACATTGCCAAGCAACCCCAAGGCTAAAACAGTGCGTGGCAGTGATTACGGTAAGACATCAAGGTTGGGGCGAAATCAAATTGATTAGACCATCACTGAGCGAGTGGTCATAAGAGCTATCTGGAATATAGCTAGAGCAGTACAAGTTTTCTTGCATAGCTTACGGTACGTTTCGTCTTTGCGGTCTGCTCGTAAGAACAATATCTCAACAAGAACAAACAGTGATCCTATGAAATTTTGTTCGTGTTGCGGGAAGAAATAAAACCGTCACTAAAAAAATGTTGTCGCGAAATGCCACTTTGATGGCATGTCTTTTGATTTTGCAGGCTGGATTCTCAACGGCAACTTCTTGCCCTCCCGGCTGGAAGAAATGGAACCGCTCCTGCTTCGCCGTGAACATCGAGCGGATGAGTTGGATGGAGGCTTCGGACTTCTGCGAGAGCAAAGGAAGCCGCCTTGCTGTACCGAATTCACAGGCTGAGAATGACTTCATCTGGCAGACGGCGGTGGAACAGTTTCAGGCCGAGTCTACGCGTCGGAACGGGGTCTGGATCGGATGCAAAAAGGAATCTGCTAATTCAAGCTTCATGTGCTCGGGAGGGAGAGAGAAAATTGGTTTCACCAACTGGGAAGCAGACAGTCCAGGTCACGAGTTCCCTCAGTGCGTCGTGTATTTTAAGCGAGGCAACGGGAAGTGGACATCCAATGACTGTGACCCGAAAGGAGGCAAGTTCGCAGCCTGCGAGATGTCGACTCCTCCTGGCATGCATTGCTTGACAGCCAACGCCAGCGGGCGCTTCGTCAGCGACTTGTAAAAATAAAAGAAAAAAAAAAGAAGAAAAACCGCAGCATCGGAACGGGTGAATTCTGTCACCAGCCCCGAATTCATTCATTCATTCGGGGGGGAAAAGCAATGACTGACAAAGGAAAGGTGTCAATTCCGTTTAAGACCCTATCGCGTCTACACCACTCCTTGCACGTATTATTTGGCAGACACACAAGCTGGCTTATTTTCAGCCAGTAGACCTCTATCATGATGGTGCCATGTTTTTCTGGTTCTGTGTAGATCAACTGACAAAAGTTATTGCAACTTCACATATTGATGAAAGGGGACAGACTATTTTTCTAGCCTCAAATAAGGCTGCGGCCGTGTGCGAAACGGGCTTCCACGGGCTACGGCTAGGTCTGTTGTCTGCGCGTCTCCACTTATTTCCAATGGAGTGAAGACCTAGACCTAGCTCTAGACAACAGATGCGGATGCAGCCTCATGAGTCATCAGTCTAGTTACAAGAATGGTAAAAAAACAAGATGGCCACCCCATGATAAACGGGACAGGAGAAATGTGGTTACGCGGTGCGACACAAGCATTGTGTGTAACAAGCAGACTTTACCATTAAAGGTGAACTAGCCGTAGACATGAAAGAGACAATCTTAGTGTTGGCTGCAGTAGAGGACAATAATATATGTTATGCATACGTGAGCGGAGGGGAATATTTTGCAAATGAAGAAACCGTATGATAATGCATCGGTAATTCGGATGACATTTTAAACAACATTTTGTGCTTAGTTCACCAACTATAAAAGGGAAATTTTATCAGGCAACCTTGGACAGCATCATTCTGTAGATTGCCTCATATCTATAAGGCCCCAAGTCTTAGTGACTGCTGGAGTTAATGAAAGGCAGCGCATTTCTCCCGACGTGAAGAACAGACGGTGTGTTATTGCAAATAAAATGCAATTCCAATCGCAGGTAAGCGAGAGAGTCGTCGTCTACACAGAAAGCTAATAAATGTGGCAATTTTTTTTTCTCCAGCGCACCATATCAGAAGCAAAGTTAGAACTACAAAACATAAGTCACAATACATCGCACCAATTTAGATGAGAAGTAGAATAACCAAGGTTTCCCTAGCGGTCCCTAGACCATCATATAGTATCTATATTAAACTTGAATCAGACACTGACAATGGACAAGGACCCGACACATAAACTCGTGTCTTTATTATGGTCGCGTTCCCAAAGAACCCCCCTTTCACCAGTCCAAACAGATGGATTTCAAAGTCATCATTCAATAATGTGATATGACCAAGAGAGTTTATCATCAATAATGATACCTTGGAATTTGTAGAGTGAACTCTACTGATGGCAGAAACATTTGTCTTCACAGATTCATGCAGACTTAGGTTGAGAGACCTACTTAGGCCAAGGCCTACTCGTGTTTTAATTTTTTGGGTCATTTTGACACCATTGTTACAACAAGAACGAAATGGCCTCGCGAAGTGCCAAGTCTTCTATCGAGGTATATAATTTTTTTTCATTGACGCTGTGGTTTACAAGACTTCGTTGACCACTGTATCTATTATTCTGAGATAAATGAAATATTGACGAAGATAACAATTTATAAGAACTGATTTGGCTAAACCTTTGCACAAGTTTACCAATGTTCCAGCATTGATGTCAAATTTCAGTAAGGGTACTGAAAATTTCTGAATCTGCTTTGGGCTGTGAAATTTACAAATGAAGAGAAAAATTGAAAAAGGGATAAAAAAGAAACAATTTTTAAATTGCTATCCCAAGTTATTAGTGAATAAAACAACCATAAGTAGAGGTTACCTGTCTCCTTGTCCAAAACTGCAGTTTAGTAAAGTTTTCCGGTGTTGGACAGCAGTATGATAAAGCTATGAAGTAAACTAGAACCTTTCATTGAACAGTAGTCTTTAAAGCATTTAATAAATTGATTACATTTTAATTGTTAAACGGTTTGCATAAAAATTGCGGTACTTCTGTGGTGTATTTAAAATTGTGCAAATATAAATTTCGGTTAAAGAATTGTGTTCACTCGTTAAATATGTGAAATAGTCAAGTACTGTCACTGTTATAGGTAATTCGTGTACAGTGAAATTGATTAGATTTGAAGCTAAGAAAATGAAATTTTGATCGATTAAGAAGTAATACATAGGTGTTAGCAGTATTAAATCAACGTATTAGTCGATGTTTGCCGAACTTCAAGCATTATGTAGAGTAGTCTTAATGTAGTTAAATTTTCAGAAGTGAGAGGTCAATTTTGGTAGGATATTTCTCTTTCAGGTTAGGTTTTCATTTTCCTTTCCTGTGATAATTTTTATAGAGGCAAACGAACGAAAAAAATATTGCACATTCTAAAATTTTGGCACTTTAATTTTCCATACAAGCGTTACAGAACATTGTACGTATACATACTTTGGCTGCAAACGACAAGCGGAATCTTATTGTTATGTCATCGGTCCCTCTACCAGTACAGTCTCAATAGATCCCGAAAGTCAAAGGTCACGCAGCGAGCTTCCGGAACCCTCGCGCGGTCCGCCTTTGGGGATTTTACGTTGGGCCGTCCTATCACGTTCGATAATTGTTGGAAGAATAATTCCTAACTGAAACCACCCCTTGAAACACTCATGTCGGAATTTTACTTTTGTCTTACTCAAGTAATATTTATGAAAAGTTACCTGGAAACAGGTAAAAAACGAATTTCACTAACGACCTTCACGTCCGGCGATATCGTACCTAGGTCTCCTTGTTCATGCACGTTTGTTTTCACTCGCCGTGCTTTCTTGAAAACGAGATTGTACAACGTTGCAAATATTTGCCTACCTGCAGTCAATGGGTTCCAGATTCCATTTAATTGACACACGCAGTTTTGTCAGCAAAGGTTAGAAAAAAAAATTAGAATTTTTGTAAAAGTAGATTATTGCTTTAACTTTATTACCTTATAAATTAAAAGTCCATGAAATATTTTGATCTGTTTTATTTCGTTTTTTAACTTACAGACTAGCATAAAATTTCAACCGAAAATGTCCATCTGCGTACGAGACCGCCGCATTGGACTGTTCTTCATGTATTTCAGATTTTCAGAAGTGATGGGTTAATATTTGGCAGGATATTTCTCTTTTAGGTCAGATAATTTTTAAGTTCCTTTAAGTTGATATACTAGCAAATATTTTCCAAAGCCCTTTTTCCATGTTGGATTTTTTTAAGAAGTAACTGAACGAAAATTATTACAAATTCTAAAATCTTTGCGCGTTATTTTTCCTATGCAAGCGCGCCGTTAAAGGTCAACTTCAGGCTCTAAAGGTTAGAGTGAAATTTTCTGTCAGTGACATTCATTAAAATGAGTGGGCGTCCCTAACACCGTTGGCTACGGAATAACGAAGCCCAACAATAGCTTAGGGCGGAAGGCAAGCGAAATCAAAGTCTACAGAATCGAAATTGAAAGGGGCGCTGGAAACTATAGCGGCGTTCATGTATTTTCTGCACTGTTAGGTCCAGACTGATACTGCACGGGAAATATATCAGTTGTACAAAATGCTTTTGTTCACGCCAGGCACTTGGAGGTTTGAGGCCTCTCTGGCGGTTGCCATGTTACCACATCAATAAATGTGCACGAGCCGGAAAAAAATTATACAAATGGCATTTTGATAAAAAAGGCTGATTTCAACGCCAAACGAGTAGGTAGCTTCACAGACTTGAGAATCTTACATCGAGCAGCCGAATACCAATATCTCTGGCTGCGGCTCGAGGAAAGAAAAGCCGATCAATTTGTACAGTCTTAAATTTTGGGGGGCTGATACTTACGAGACCAACACCGATATCACAGAAATTCTTAGAAATGAGAAAGGAAACAGGCTTTAAAATGTCTTCTTATCATTTGATGGCATGGCTTTTGATGCTGGTGAGTGTGTTCTCAGCAGTCGCTGTCTGCCCTTCCGGCTGGAAGAGCTGGAACCGCTCCTGTTACGCTCTGTACTTTGAACGGATGAATTGGATGGAGGCTTCGGAGTTCTGTGAGGGCAGGGGAAGCCGGTTGGCAGTGCCGAATTCACAGGGTGAGAATGATTTCATCTGGCAGATGGTGAGCGAGCGAGTTGAGGCCGAGTCTGTGTCTCGAAGTGGGGTCTGGATTGGATGCCGCCGGGAGTCTCATTACTCCAGCTTTGAGTGTTCTGGAGGTCCAAAGGAAATGAGTTTCACCAACTGGTACCCCGGCTTTCCCGATCAAAGCTCCCCTCAGTGCATCTTGTTCTCCAAGGGTGCTGACGGGAAATGGAAAAACAACAAATGTGTCTCCGCGAACGGCAAGTGCTTCGTCTGCAAGATGCCGAATGCTGCTGGTGTGCACTGCTTGACCGCCGACGCTTACGGGCGCTTGGTCGGGGATTTGCCGTATTAAAGGATCGAAATTGTGTAGCAGCTACGGAAATAAGAGGGCCTAGCGTGGCAAGGCCCGAGTACGCGAGACAATAATGTGAACGTAATGCCTCCCCTGACACCTGGATGTGTCTTTGTAAAATTCAAGTGAATTTCGGGGACTGATGGAACTAGCGTAACAACTGGGCATTCAAATCAAAACAAAAGAAGGAACAAAACTGTAAACGTGGACTATGACATTCTTGATATAATCTGATTGCACGAGGAAACTTATTTGACGCATTAATTAAGAGAAGCGATTTTGTGTGTCCACAACAGAAAACAAGTTTGCCGATGTTTCAGCATTCATGTCAAATTTCAGTCAGTTTCCCTGTGGAGAAATATATAAAACTTTAAAAAAATAAAGATCGAATCCTCCAAATTAATAAATAAAATTTAAAAAAATAAAATAACCGATCCCCTCATAGTTTTATAACGATTTTAATTTATAAGTGAATTAAAATAAAAATACTTTAAGCTTTCCAGTGTTAGACACCAGCATGAAAAAAAACTGTACTAAAATGGTTCATGAAATTAATCTGCAAAGGATTCAAATAAGTAATTGAACACATTTCTAAGCATTTTTGAAGCTATTTTCTTCAAGCACGTTTTCATCCAGGACGTGTTTAGATATTTACACTGAAATTTGTTGAAATGATGTACGCTTCTCCAAGGTAGGCCTACGCTTTTAGCTTTGTGTAATGCGCTCAGCATTAAACACATGCCTACACGCATTTGAATGTTAACTCTCTGAATATGTCGTAAGGTATTTGTTCAGAAAGTGGTACCGTAAGAAAGTTTAAAAATCTAAATTCCATTTTAGCGTACTGTTAATTTGTGTGATTTTTGGCTTTTTGTAATTTTGGCTTCAACATTGAATAATCTTATTGCGCCTAATCGTTTAGATAGACTTGGTCCTAAAACTAAGACGCTAAATTTTCCAGTTTCAAATGACAGGGAGAATCCAGCTTGTGACAGAGGCTACGCAGGCACGCAAACTACCAGTCAACACACGGGCGTCGTAAGGGGGGGGGTGTCGGGTGTCACCCCCCGCATTGGCTCGTTTTGTGGGTATAATCATGGTATGTCGGCAAAATAAAAAGACAAAGAACGGGAATGAAGATGAAAGGAAGAGGGATACAATACACACATTTTGCGTGACGGTCCGTCGGCAAATGTCATGTGCCACCCCCATTCACGGTCTAGCCACGCCCGTGAGCCTACATGAGTATCGAACTTGAAACGGGAGTTTCTTCAAACGTATTTTCTCCAACGCCAGGTCCAATGTTACCAGACAAAAAAGGGTTGTCACGCACAAGCACAAAACGAACCAATGATAGGCCGTGTCCGAATCACTTGGCTTACGGCTGTAATTTACACACGATTTAATGGGAACTAGCCGCGGCCACGGCCTTAACTCGTAATTCGGACACGGCCATATTTCATCAAAAAAAGAGCCCGAATTCAACGCCAAGTATACGGCTCCAAAATCAAGTGGACTACAGTGCAGTTCTTGCGTTAGAGTCGAATTACCGAATAAAGAATAGTTTGAAGTAGCCGAGTATCTCTCTCGTTGCGGCCTGAGACAGGGAAAGGCGAACTACCTGATCTGTATGCACTTGTTCTCAATCTTTGTCTGGCAACACACAGGCTGATGATACCCACCAAAGCTTTTGAAAACGAAAGTTTCCGAAGTGTATTCCTCGATTGACAATTTGACAGCTCTTCTTGTGATATTTGGAAGTGTATTCTCAGCCACTGCCGCATGTCTATATTTCCGGCTGGAAGAAGTGGGACCACTCCTGCTAAGCTCTGTACTTTGCAGCAGATGAGCTGGCTGGAGGCTTCGGGGTTCTGCGAGAGCAGAGGAGGCCGCCTTGCCGTGCCGAATTCACAGGCTGAGAATGATTTTCATTTGGCAGATACTGATGGAACGAGTTGAGGTCGATTCTCATCATATAGTCGGGGTGTGGGTCATGCCGATTGAAAATTCAAATATTCGACTGAGAGAAGGAATCACACTGAAATGTACGGTGTGGCTTCATCATTTTGAGGGTTATAATTACTTGACTTGCTTTCTGAATGCCACAGCGCATTCATAAGAAACGAGTGAATTTAAATAGAATCGTCCACCGCCAGCATGTGCAGCCAGTGAAATCGTGTATAGGCTCCACTTCGCTTCGAACCAATCTTCGCGGGTCGGGTTTGAGTGGTTTGTTAACAGCAACTTAATAAAAAAGATCTCATCAATGTCGAAAATACTCTGGTCATGAGTTTAACTGTTAAAATAGGCTATACCTCAGGTTCACGATGACGAACTCGAGCGTATGTTATTCACTGTCAACCCTAACTCCCTAGGGTGTACGTAAAATCATATTGAAATTGGAGGATTTGGGACTGTTAGGGTTGATAGACAGCAGTGCCTTCTATGGCCTTGCTTGTGGTCCTTACGGACATTTGTCTGTTTAAAAAAAAAACTCACGAAGAATACTTGAATCACATTGATTTGACGTAAAATGGTTCTCTATTAAAGGAATTGGTCATTGTTACCCATATCATGACTCAATGATGTGGCAGCTTCTCTTGGCATTTATAAAAAAAATCGTCATTTTGGGAGTTCAGTTCTACCGCGAGAATGCTCAGAGTAAAAAAAAAATGCGTCGATGAAGGCGGCAAACAAACTCAGCGAATTGATGTCATAATACGGCTGTCGTTCCCGCAGAGTTTCTTGACCTTGCGGCCGTAATAGGGATTTTATAGCACGAGGACAGAGAAAAAACGGGTAAAGTAAGTGAGATGTCATTCTCGGGAAATGACCGCGGTCACCTGCCTGAAATTCATCGGGACCTTACTCCAGTTCAAATTGGGACGCAATCTAAGCAATCTCAGTTTATTCAAGACAAATCACAAGTCAAAAGTGACAGGGTTCAATCAGCCACTCACTCTAACCGACAGGGGATTATAAATGGAGTATAACAGTTAATTAAATGTCAGTATCTATCGGCTCCATGGTCTAAACAACGCGCGATCTGAAATCACTCAAACTCCGGAAGTCTGCTGTTCTGCTTTCCAAGGACAGAAAGAGTAATGAAAACGCAGACGCCACCACTCAATATTAACTATGGGGCAGCAGCAACAATTTCTTAAAGATGATATTCGATCCAATATGAAACGTCAAATATGCAGACAGGCTGGGTAGTGCCGGTAGACTGAGGCTCTACAATAAAGAGGATTTCATTTAAGCTGTCCATCTTACTTTGCTCTATCCGTGACGAGTCTTTCAAAACGCACCGGCGATTTTCACTTAAAGTGTCAGTACCGTACTAACCTGTTCTCAACAATCGAATCACTGCCTCGGCGTTCCAGTCAGGCCAACTTATCCTGTACTCGATTCTGTCGTGTATGTTTTACAAAATGGCGATTCTGGTCGACTTGGGGGTTCCTCTGTTCGCCTTGGGATTGATTTCAACCTCATCCGCCGTCTGCCCTCCTGGTTGGAAGAGCTGGAATCACTCCTGCTACGCTGTGTACTTTGAGCGGATGAGCTGGCTGGAGGCTTCGAAGTTCTGCGAGAGCAGAGGAAGCCGCCTGGCCGTACCGAATTCACATGCTGAGAATGATTTCATTTGGCAGATGGTGGTGCAACGACATGAGGCTGAGTCTAGGCATCAGGGCGGGGTTTGGATGGGATGCCATCGCGAATCTGCTAATTCAGGCTTGGTATGTTCGGGGGGTACAGAGGAAATAAGCTTCACCAATTGGTTACCACACTTTCCTTCAGAAATGTATCCCAAATGTGTGGTCATGTCAAACAAAGGCAACGGACGGTGGAGATTGTGGACATGCACGCCAAACAGAGGCAAGTACGTTATCTGCGAAATGCCGACTACTTCTGCCATGCAATGCCTGACAGCTGACGCCAACGGACGCTTCGTCAGCGACTTGCCGTGAAGTTGGAAACTGTTGCAGTGACTGGAGTGAGGTCAGGCCCCGGTTAATTAAAGAGACAGCGATTCGAACATTAAGAACAATACATTTTCTGAGACAGCGATCGTGTGTTTTGTGAGTGGCGTGCCTCAGTTAGGACGCTCAAAGAATAAACTCAACAACTGGGCATTTCATCGTAAACAGAACGAAAGGACGGAATTACAGTGTTCGTGGTCTTTTGCAGGCAAAAATGCTAAGGCCCTGGGCAGACACAATACCTTTCCCATGCAGAATTCCGCTTCCTTGTATGTACTCTTGACAAACAATGCTCATTGCGCTTTGTCGAAATGCACTTGCTGCACAAGAGGACTTATTTTCTTCAACACATTCGGAATAATGGGTGAAGCTTGGAAGAGCTTAGAGTAATAACCATACGACACAAGCATGTCTCGTATGACGGAAAGCAGAGGAAGAGAACTTAACTTGACGTTGAGGGAGACTTTGACTGGATGGCGATTCTTATTTAACGTATCAGTGATTTGTATATAACGCATACATCATAAACTAGCAGAAGCCTCACCCACAGCCCCGGCATCCTTGCTTTTATTTCTTAGTGTTGTTTTCTGAGGGTATTGGTGCTAATTATTATTAGTAGTATTTGATGAACTGAAAAAAATTCCTTTCGGGGGGCAACTTGTCCCCCCCCCTCAACCCCGCTGGATACGCCACTGCAAACGGAGAGAAACTGTCGACACACATTCCTCGTTCTTTTCGTCACTGTTATTTAATAACTGATTGTGGTACCGCACGGAATTAAAGATATTAAAACTATACAAGTAGCTTAGTTCACTGGCATCGCGCTTAGACACTGTCACGACGAAATAACAAACTTAAACATACAACTGTTAAGTGTCACATTCAATCATCCTGATAAACGCGGACCTCTAAATCTTCGGTCAAGTTTTCCAGCAGCAAATGACAAGGAGAATCCAGCTTGTCGTCTCACAAATGCCTTTTTCTCTACAATTTCGATGGGCTTCATGTTTTCTGTCAGTGCAATAATATCAGTGGACATCACAGGCACCAGGAGAAGGAGCGGAACCCAATGATTCGCTTCGGTAAATGACAAAGGTTCCAAGCAATTAATGCAACCAGTCTGCACCATTGAACTTGAGAAAAGGAGGTTGACAAAGAACGGCCTATTATATTTTCTCCAGCGTCAATGGGCCTGATGTTTACTGTCTGTGCCGTTAATATCAGCGATGTCACTGGCACCAGAAGAAGGAACGAAGCCCAGTTTCTTATTGTACTCTAAAATTCGCATCGGCATATGAAGCTGCACGCAATCGACGTAACCGGACTGCAGTACAGAGCTTTAAACGGAAGTTGAAATATAACCACCTACAGTTTCTGCAAAGGCCTGGTCCAGTACTACTGCAGGTGTAGGCCTATAATTCAATCGGTGTGAGTTAAATTTCCATCGTTGACAACGGGAGCTACGGAAGACCGAAGCCACTGCTGTATTGCTAATTGACTTCAGATATTTGCTCCATTATGACAAAGGCTGCATGTAAGCGAAGTTATCCATTCTGCACTATACCGAACAATACCCCCACAGAAAATGATCTCGCTACGCCCCTGGTTAACAGGTGAATTGCTTGATTCCATCTGTCACCTCGTAACATTATTCTTCTCATTAAATCCCTAACCATTAATTATCTGTATAATATTCCCAAACAGCGTTTCAAATATTTGACACTGACCGATTTACGTATCTTCTGATACGGATACATGTATAATGCTAATTTGTCACATCTTAACATTGAGGCTGTGGCTTTTAATCGATTATGATTTTCTTGTGAAAATATGACAGTAGAAATGGAATTTCCTTTAATAATCGAGTCGGTTTACTAAAGAATCCCAATATGAATTAACATTCAATTTAAAGACAGTGGTGTCAAAAGTTGGCGTTTCGATTTGTTTGCTTGCTTGAAGGTGTTAAATAAAGTATCGTGTCTTGTTGAAATTTGTATTGCTGAAAAGTGTAATGATGCATATGTGAGCAGTCATGGATGCCCCTCCCGATGAATATTTTATTGGAGCAGCGCAATCTCCCATTGTGCGTGCGTAGCGTCTGTACCGTGCAGCAGATTTTTTTTGGGCACGACGTGAAGAACACAACGTAGATGGCCCTGTGTCACACCGAATGGCTTCAAGCATGGAGCCATTATAAACGCAAGCTTCAAACAACACCACCCCAGGGCAGACCGTGTCTGAGTAGTTGGTTGCGGCTTGAAATTGGCTGTGGTTGCAGCCACATTGGCGTATCCAGCAGGCGGGGGCGCTTTGCCAGTTTTTGTATTATTCATATTTTAGGGAGGGGGGGAATTTATTAACGGATGAAAATTTAGACCGTCGTTTTGGATAAAAATCTGCAAGATGCAAACAAGAGGAAATGAATTTTCGGTGAGACATGAGAATCTACAAATATTTATCACAAAAAAACACCCCCAAATAGTCTCAATAGCCAGATCTGCAGAAAGGAGAAAAGGTCGAATAAATCATAACAGACGTCTACAGTGCAGAGAGTACTTATTACAATAGCTTAACAACTTCTGTTGCTTTAGTGATTATTAAAATGAGTCTTTTAAATGGAGAAAATATGTACGAGCGCTACGCCGATTATTGTTGAGTGTGGCGCCCTCAACGTTACTTGTGCGAATTATACGGTCCTTTAAACAGGGGTTGCGACGTGCAATTATTGGGCATCAACCTTGCGTCCGATTGGTGTTCCCGTACTATTGTCAATAGTATTTCTAAATGGTTTTAGGTTACTAAGTAAAGGAAGTTGTCATCTAAATGTAAACAGTCATCAAACCTCCTGGCCTAAAAGCTTGACGTTCCGCCCCTTTTTCACACAGTGCATCATTGCTCATGCATGCCATTTTCAAATGTTCGCGAAGGTCTATGACGCAGTGCACTGGAAGTCGAGTTAACTCTGACATCGTGGACAATCCACCGTGACTGAATTGCAGTGAAACTCCAAAAGAGTCGGGACAGAGTCCGCTTCCGCCATTATCTCCGATTTTTTTTTCGCAGTGAATTTCCCACGAGCCTCCAAAGAGTTTTACCAGTCATGTCCTACATAATCATTTCGACACGAATTTTGTAAAACAATTGGATGACACCCTTTTCGCAAAACGCTCATTTTTCCGAGGCAGGTCAGCCAAAAGTGCCATATGCTTTTCCATTTGACGTACTCTATGCGAGCGGCCGACACACTCAACAACAAAACCATACGTAAGATTGAGTGAAAACTTCAGTGTCTTTACATGCATGCTAAGTTTGTCAGAGATCAGGCTTTGGACAGCTGGACAAGTTCTTGAGGCTCCCTCGGCTGTGAGATTCTCTAGACTACGCGAATGGGGAATTATATAGATGTTCGTGTTCTATCGTTTCAAAGGGAAAACAGCTACAGTATATGGTAGTTACATTTCAGTTAAATGTGTGTTCCTATTTTGTTAACAGAATTTTGGCTGCAGTGTACAAGCATCGC